TAATTACAGCGAAATCATCGCGTTTTTGTAACTGCTTTGATTATCTCCCAATTTCTGCTGTTTAGCCCTTCAGAAGAGACAAAAGTCTCTTCTTCCTCCTGTCGCATTCCTGTTCCCTAAATACTTATATTTCTGGTCACACTGCCTCCAAACACGACCTCCCCACCCCACCTTCTTTTTCCCCGGCAGATTTCTGACTTGACAGCAGGGTCAAGAGCAGGAAAGAAGAAGAGAAAGAGTCCCCTCCGCGTGGACTCTGGAAATTCCCCGTGTCTCACGGCCCACCGTGGTATTGCATGTTTTTCCCTTCAGAGCTGCAAAAAGGGAAGAGTTGGGAACCTGCCCATTTCCTACCACCTGCAGCAGGAACTGATGCTATCACTGTAGGGATACAGAAGCACAGAACCCCAGAATCATTTAGGTTGGAAAAGACCTTTAAGATCATAGAGTCCAACCGTTAACCCAACACTGCCAAGACCACCACTAAACCATGTTCCTAAGTGCCATATTTACACACCTTTTATACACCTCCAGTGATGGGGACTCCACTACTTCCCTGGGCAGCCCGTTCCAATGTTTGGCAACCCTTTCAGTTAAGAAATTTTTCCTAACATCCCTGGTGCAACTTGAGGCCATTTCCTCTCATCCTATCTCTTGGTACTCCAAAGCGATCAAAGCAATGACTGGATATTTGGATGACATCAAGCTGTATGAATGATAGATACATCTTGCACCCGTCTGAAATAAATCCACGGACCCACACCCTTTCCGTCCATCTCTGCTGAGAGGAGCTCGTCCAGGGGCAGCCTCCAGAGGAGGCGTTGCCTTCCAGAGAGGAGCAAAGGAGGGGTGGCAGCGGTTGGTGAGAAAGATGAAGACCTCCACCCTGGAGCTGAGCTGCTGGAGACGTTAACCCGGCGCCCTGCTTGAAGAGCAGGGCTGCGTTGCAAGGCCTCGCTGCGAACCTGCGCCATCTTGTGTCCAGACATTTCCCTGCACTAACAGGGCCGCCGCCGCGCAGAAGGGCCTACATTTTAGAACAGCAGACGCGAACCTTCGGTGCTGTCTTTCCCGAGGTACTTTCAGGAGCTTGCAGGGGCTGCAGATGCATCATACCCCTAAAAATCCGGCATCAAGATTAGCAAATGGTCTTGAAAATCCAGGCCAGTGAGCGTGAAACCCTCAGCAGAGCAAGTATGGGGTGTAAGGGAAAGTGGTGGGTTAGTCTTCTCCTCCCCGCACTAGCTGGGAGGAAGAGAGAAAACATTGAAAAAATAGTCTAGGATAACAAAGCTCAAACCCGAGGAAAACAGACTGAAACGCAGGCTGGGGTTTGTTCTCTCCATTAATTTCGGAGACAGCTACAAAGCTGCAAATTATGTGAGATCCCGTCGGCATTCACAGGCACCGACAAAGTTTGCAAAGCGAATAGCTGGCACCCCCCCACCACCCCAGCCAGGCCGTGTTACAGCAGCTTCAGCTTACCCCCTCCCCCCCACCCTGGCCCTTGCTCTTCACGCTCTCACCATCAGGCTCCCATCTGCTCTCCCATGACCATCCCGCACGTTCGCAGGGCAGCTCCTCTGCCAGATCCCCACATGCCAAGCAGAGCTGTTTGGCGTCAGCTGTGAAATTACCACCAGCTGTATTGGGTGGGGGACATCAAGGAACGTGAGAAAAAACTAGGATGTTCTGAAGGAGGCAGCAATGTGTCTTCTAGCCAGGTTTTCTGCTGAAGAAAGCAGCCAAACACCGAGGGTTCTTTTCTGCCTCACTCACCGACACAGAGGAAAGCTTCCCAGCTCCCTGCATTTGCTTGCCAAGGAGTAGGTGATTAAGGCAATTGAGCATAGTGCAAGCAAAACCTTCTGCCTATGACTATGTTCTGGACCAGCAGCGAGAGGTCAGAGTTCTCCTACAATGACTGGTTGCTCCTGGTCTAACTAATGTCTAGTGCTTTTGACAGCTAGTGAAGATTCAATTTGGCTTAATGGCTAAATCACATGGAGGCCAATCCAGCTCCCAAGAAAGTCAATGGAGTGAGGCCTTAAAACAGAGAAGCTTTAGTTCTGCTCCTCAGAGCTCAATTTACTGAGGCAATCCCTCATGGCGCAATGTAACAGCTACAGGCTGGGAGTTAAGCACTTGTCTTGGATCGAACTACAACTGCAGAGGACCAACCACACCGTTACTTACAGATTCCTGCT